TGAGGCTTGGAGCAGATTTTGAGCACCTCTGCTTATCATAAAATTGCCTGTAGTTACTTTCTTAAATAGTTCTTCCAGGGAATGAAAACGCAGTATCAATATTTTTCTTGTTTTTGTTTCATTCTCTGAGAGATAATCCTTCATATTGTCAACCCAAAGCAGTTACAAACAAACAATACAGAAATGCTCCATGACTGATGATTAAGACTCTAAAAGACCTCAAGTATTTTTTTCTGCATGTCACTTGAGACTTATTAAGAACGGCATTAACAGCACGGCATTTAATCCTTGGCACAGTTATCTGCCTCTGTCTGGGAGGTATCAGCACATTCACGATAGTCCCTCAGTGCCTTTGCCTGTCTGCTTGTTTTGGCTGCATTTCTGAATTTTCAGTGCTTGGTATTTAGTGTCAGGACTATTAGTCTTTTCCTCTAGTGCAGTGTGGCTTTTTGCATGTGTTGGATGCAGATGCAATTTTTGTCAGTTTGACAGTTTTTGTCACCGTTTCAGGAGACTTTCTCCAGATATCTGACCCTTGCTTTGCAGAGGGGATTGTCTCCTGCTTTGGATTTACTAAAGCTGCTTCATCAGTTTCTGTTTTCATCTTCTGAGGTGGCTTCTCTTGCTCCTAGTGATGAGAAAAATGGTGAGCAAGAAGAGGCCACCTTAGTTTCTTTACCTCAAAGCTTCCCTGTGAAACCTCCAGGCACGTTCGTACTACCTGTGGGTGCAGCGACAGAGGCAACGTCTGGCCAGCAGCAGCCAGCAGCTCCTCTCCAGCACTCAGGGGGATATTTCTCACATTTCACAATGATAACCAGCTCCAAACCTCCCGGGTAGTTTCATATTCTTCCAGTGTGATGGCCAGCGTGCCTCTCATGGAGTCCATTGCCCAAAGTCACAGAAAGTAAGCTAGAAAAAATATTGTGTACTCTTTAAATCATCGTGCATGCATTTCCGTCTGAGCCTGATTTCTCGCCACAGAAGAAAGCTTCATGTAGGAGGCCCAGAAAGGAGTCGTGGTGCCTCAGGCCAGCTGCCACAGGGCTCTAGTCCTTCCTAAGCCACGCAGGAGAGCAGCAATCCCTGATCCAGGGAAATGCCTGTGTCTGGGCACTGCCGCTGATGGTCAGAGCTACTGAGCCCCGCTGTCCTGGCCAGGTGCCCGGGATGAGTCAGAAACATGTCTTTCATTTGCCCTTTGGGACTCAGACTCGCTGAGGAAGAATGACATTTAGATTGGTATTTATGATTGAGATAATTTCCTGACCAGCAGCAATATTTGCTTAGCTGTTTTCCTTAGGCTTGAGGCGGATAAGCTTGTGTTTATAATTCATTTTCTTTGCATGTGATATTTTTCTTTCCTTTCACTGATTAGTTTCTTCAGCTGATCTATTTGGAGTGTAACATTAATATTGAAAATAAAGTTATGAAGGCAATCAAGGAAGAATATTTGATCTCTTCTGGCAGCACAGGCATATACATTTATCCAGTGTAGCAGTGTGTGAAAACTGGAGTTGAATTGACATAAGACATCAGAGATGTGACATATTACAGCATTAAGTTTTGCATGTCAGGTATAAGAAGGAGAAAACCTTTGATACCTCTGCGGTCACAGAGACTGAAGTATTGAGTTTAGAGCCAGTTCATTCCTCTTTTAAGGATAACAGCACGGCACAAGATCTGGGAACCCACGGGAAGGGTCTCAGCCCTTCACAGACCCAACCATCCCTTTGCTGCACTTGGAGCCTTTCCAGGCCCTCTCCCTATCCAGTTCTCCTGTTGGGTGCCTGCCAGCAATTCCTCATTTAGGATTTAAAGTTATTACCATTCCTTATCAAACATATTTATTACTTTTAAATAATAATTTGTGTTAATTGATACCATTGGATTTATTATTTCTTGCCAGAGAGAAATGAATCCAGAAAGAGAGAATTAACGGCTGCAGTGTCAGAAAGCCTGAAGTACTAGGTAACCATTTCACAGTTCTCCTCTGGAGAACAAGAGGGAAAAAAAAAGAAAAAAAAGGCCCTACCAAATGCATGAGAAGTATGGCAAATAGTTCATATTTAATGAAAACGATGGAAATAAAAAAAAATTAAATGTTAAGGAAACTATCACTAAGCCTGCATCCTGGAAATTTTATATTGCAAGCTGGTTTTCTAGTATGTAAGCAAAAACTAATATTTTCCAGGGTTTCTGATTTTTATCTTAGTTTTTTAAAAAGCAATTGAAAAAAAGATTAATTTAACATGAAGACAATTTTGTTCAAAGCTTGATATTTTGTTTTTTAGCTCACCTTCATTTAATAAGACAAAGAAAAAGGGAGGAACCTTTAAAAATCTGATTTTATTATTCCTCAGAGGTAGAGTTGTTTTCTTTAACCTTTACAAACATTTGTTTTAATATCAGAAAGAGAGAATAATGTGAATGTCTGGGCTCTTCGAAGACAAGAGAAATTGTCTCTGATCTTAATAAGGCCAGAAAGTTGTCCATAATGCAGAATTTTTCAGAGTTAAAGGTATGTAAATGAAATACCCATTCCCCCACCTAAAAAACAAATCTCAAACATTTATTCCTCTTCTTAGTCAACTGCTCTCTAATTTACAATTTATTTATGTTTATGTCTTAAAAGAACAAAGCTAAACATACAACAAGGATGAATTCATCCTTTGAATTATGTGATCCTTTGAGTACAGATGCTGCAAATGAAGGGTACATTTCATTCACAGATGCATTTTTCTTCTGCAAACAGCTAATAACTGCAGGCTGCAAGTACAGAAACGGTGGCAGTCCCACTGGGCTGGCTAGTTATTCCAATCACTTTATTTTTGTTCCTGCAGCAAGGCAGCATGGAATGCACTGAGGATGTGTTTGCAGACAAAAAGTACAAACAAATAAAACGTTGATATGTGTTTTCACCTGAAGGGATCTGATGGAAGTATGAGTATTTGGTAAAAGCTAGTAACATGAATGAGTCATGAAGATTTCTCCGAAGTCCTGTTCAGGGAAATCTGTTCTCCCAGTATCTGCTTATTTCTAACCTGAATTTTCTGTGTTTTCCTTCTTGTGTCATAGGGCTTAGCAAGAATATGAGTCGTAGAAAACTAGCATGTAAGTTCAGGCATGTAAGTAAAAGCTGGTAGCACCCTTGATTTGCACAGAAGAGGAGTCCCAGACACCTCGAGGAGAACCATATTATGGGCTAACTCTGTGGAGTCAGCCTCTTTAGACACGATGTCATCATGCACTTCCGTAGCAGAAGGCTGCAGATGAGCAAGACACTGTAGCAAAGCTTTTATTGCTGGACAGAAAACAGCTGCCAGTGCCCAGGCTGTTAGGCAGCGTGAACCTGCGTGTGTAAGTAGAGCTGCTGTTCCCACCTGGGAATAATGTAAGAACTCTTCCCACGCTTGCCCCGCAGCCCACAATTTTATTTCATGGACTAGAAACAAATAAAATCTATGAATTAAATCCATGTAATCCTCTGGCCTTTATAACACAAATCCTTTATTTACTAACTGCAGAGTTTATGAAAGAGCTTCTTGTCTTATCTTTGGCTTAGTGCATTGTCAAACTTATTGAAAGAAGGGGCTGATAACTCAGGTATGGCTGGTTTTGAAATGGACTGTAAACTAATGTAGCTGCAATAGCTATCTGATCAAGCACCGTGTGGTCTCCTTCTGCCACCAGAAGCCTGTTTTTCATTTATTGTTCTTTGAATCCTTCTAATTCAGAATTATTGGATTAGAGGATTTGACTGAAAAAGCAGTATTCAAAAAAAAAAAAAAAAACAAGGGTGAGTGTTCTTGGTGAGGAAGGTGTTATCACCAGAGTTCCTGGAAGCTGCTCTGGAAGTTGGTGGGATTTTTTAATGTAAATGAACTAGTAATATGAATCCTCTTTCCATTGACTTACAAAGGATGTGCTTTCTGCAGTTTCTGGGCAGCTGCTCTCTAGCCAAAACCAGTGGGGATTTAAACTAAGCTAAGGACCCTATGGTAACCTTGTTACCCACTTCCAAATTCTTGCAGAGATCCACAAATCCCATGGTTCCTTAATAATGCAGAGGTGCTTTTCAGTCACAAGGCTAGACTCAGACCTGTGTTGGGCATGCCTAGGAGCTGAGGGCTTGGGAGTCGGCTCGACCTTCAGCTCACAAGGGCAGCTGGAGGCAGCGGGTCGCACTGGGATGTTGCTGCAGTTCTGTGTGCTCCGCCTGAACCCCCCCAGGAAAAGACAGCAAGGTGTGGGCACCCTGAGGTGTCTCCATTCCCAGAGCCTCCTCTCTGGTGTGAGGCAGAGCATCTTTAAGGCCCCGGGTCCTTCCTTTAAGCAGTGTCCAGGCACATCTAGGATGCCCCGCAGGTAACATGCAAGCTTCCTAGACTGCCCCATTCCTAGGCTGGGGCTGCCCTGGCCATGTGGTACAATTGCAGATTTCTGTTGAATGAGAGGGCTCCTCCAGTGCCAGGGAAGCTTGGCTTTTATGGATGCTTTGTAGCTAGTCTCTTGTATACTGTGCTTGCATCAAGCCACTGCAGCTGCAGGTCACCGCTGTGCCATGTGATGTACAGGGCAGTGATTCAAAATGCTGCCTTTGTTTGGGACACACCAGTAGCTGTTACGGCCAGGTGTCTGACATTACCTGGCAGGTTAGCAGGCTGCTGTCGTGAGCGTGGCGCTGGCGGAGCGAGCGCCCTGCGGAGCGAGTGCCGTGCCGCCTGGCGCAGCACAGGCGCCGCCGTGGGGGCTGCAGCGCTGGGCAGCCCTGCCTGCAGCCAAGTTGCACACGGGGCACCAGCAGGCAAGGGCACCCAGCGCTGGCCCTGCCGCCGGCCCAGCTGCGTCCCGCAGCAGCAGGTCCCAGCTCTGTGATGCACCGTGCAGCCAGCTGCGACCCGCAGCAGTGCCAGGGCGCCTGCATTCGAGCTGTTAGGGCCGCTGCAAGCGAAGGGCGGCCGCGCTTGCACTCACTGTGCTGCTTTTCTCCTCAACAGGATAAGGAAGTGAACCTGGAGCAGGTGCACAGGCGCATGAACAGCTTGATCGATGAAGACATCGCCCACAAGCAGATCTCGCCGGCGTCCATCGAGATCTCGGCCCTGGAGATCGGCGGCATGGCGCCCGCCCAGACCCTGGAGCCGGTGCGCGAGTACCAGAACACGCAGCTTTCCGTGAGCACCTTTTTACCAGAACAGACGGCGCACGGCGCCAGCAGGACACTGTCGGCCGCGGCGGGCAGCCAGCTGCCGCTGCCCCTCAGCAGCTCGGCCACCATGCCCTCCATACAGTGCAAACACAGGTCGCCCAACGGGGGCCTCTTCCGGCAGAGCCCCGTCAAAACGCCCATCCCCATGTCGTTCCAGGCCGTGCCGGGGGGCGTCATCCCCGAGGCGCTGGAGCCCTCGCACGGGACCTCCATATAGCCACCACAGACAGACCCACAACCAGCAGAGCTTTTTAATACCACATTTAAAACAGAAAAAGAAAAAGAAAAAAAAAAAAGAACAGACTCTTACCTTTTTCTTGTATATATCTGTAAATAACGAAAGAATGAAGTGGGGTAAAAGTGTATTTTGAATATTCCCAATTTTCGAAGTCAGTAAAAAAACAAAAAAAAAGCAAACAAAAGTGTATGAATGACTTTGTAAATTTTGTTCTATACGAATAAAAAGGCAAACTACTTGTGATCGTTCTCAAGTGCCAAAGAAGACCAGTTACTGGGACTGAGGGCCGTACAATCTTTTTTTTTGTGTGGATTTCAACATTCATTTGTTCATTTTTTTTTTAAGAGCAAAAAGAATTTACCCATTTCTTGCTAGCAAAGTTCACCATATTCAGACGTCTCCTCAGAACCCTGTTTTATAGTCAAGCAAAGCATTGACCATTGTTTTAAGCCTGAATTTTAACTAAAATCCAATAAACAGAAATAAAAAGCTTTTTTCCATCCAACAAGGATTTAAATTTCCACGCAGTTTCTAAGTTAAAGCACAGGATTATTGAATTGTGTTTTTGCATGTGTTCTCTGCTGTGTGGCTCTTTTTATTTAACCTTCCGTATTATATATATAATATATAACATATTATATATATAAATGCTTTGGTAAGTCAGAGGTTTCAGGTTATGGGTGAAGCTTTTAAGAAAAAAATGCCAACATTTTTTGGGGTGTCTTGTAGACAAAAGAAAATGGGGAGGAACCAATGGCTTGCAGGAGCTTGCAGGAGGGCAAACTGGAGCAGAGAGGAGGTTACAGCATTAGGGGGACGCAGCCCTCTCTTTTTGCCTCTGTCTTCAGGATTTCAAGGAATTTCTGCATAACGGATGCAGAGCATTCTGTTGAGGTCATACCTTGAATGACAAGGCTAAGTTCATAACTGTAAGCACAGCTCTGCTTTATTTCCATTGATTTTATAAAGAGAAACATTTCAATGGTCGTGCCTATCGTCTTGGTAGAAATGGCTATAAAATGTCTTTTATTTTTTCTGTGCAGCGCAATCAAAGGATAGAGAAAGCAATGCATAAAGCTAATGTCTTGGTCTGCAAATATTACCAGTGTTATTTCACATGACAAAAAAAAAAAAAAAAAAAAAGTCAAAACACATTGTTTCCTTCCCAAACAGTAGTTTGAATATTTGAGATAACTGTTTTCTCCCCCTACCTCCTGTTGTTGCTAATGGACCATCACTAGCTTTCACAAATGGGATAATTTATTATCTTCTCAAATATATGACTACAGGTAGGTGGTAAATTTCCTTTGTTGTGGGATTTCTTCATTTTATTAGAAAACTGCTGTTTGGAAAAGGCTTTTGATCTGGGTGCAGCAAAATCACTACCTTCATTAGGGATGAAAAATAGTCTTTGAGCAGACATAAAAATGCAGTCACGTGCCACGAAAGTCAGCAGATTATATGGGTCATGTTTTTGGATAAATAAAAAACTTCCATTGATTGCCTCCTAATCTGATTTGCATAATTACTCAACAGGGTTTTTTTTATGAGATGATAAAGTCAATCAAATCTGTGCTTTTTACAGTTTGAATGGAAGGGAGGAAAATACAGTGAGACTGTGATGCAAGGCTGGTGCAGCGCGCTCGGCACGCTGCCGTGCCCGCCACGGGGGACAGTGGTGCAGGCAAAATCCTGCAGGCTTCATTTGTCTCTGCTGTCAGGCTGTGGCTTGGTGAAGACAGTGCGATTCTGCTTTCTGGCACAAGTTGCGCTCTTTGCTTCAGACTAATTAAAAATGAATCATATATAGTCAGCTGACACCAACTTGAGATCTTCTTACTTTCTCTTTTAGTGTGTAAGGGTGGTTTCACCTCTCCAGCCATGCTGCATCTCACTGGTTCTCCTGAAAATGCCTCACATGTTTCAATGCTTTGCAGGATCACAGCCAGGACTATCAGGATCTTGCAGAATCAAACCATACAGCTCTCCCTCAGAAAACCGTTTAAGCATCAAGCCATTTAGCAAGCAGCTGCTTTACGCACAGGCTGAAGCATTTTGCTGATTAATGAGGATTTAAATGCGCCTTTCAAGTTATATATGTGACTAATTTCAGGCAGGTGAGTGAGCTTACCAAACTACCTGGGACAAACCAGATAAACCTGTTGTTTAACGCTGAACACCGTAAGTGCTTTGCTGCACCAGGGTCTATAGCATAAAAGTAGCAATCCGCAATGGGTCTGTCACTGCCTAGTAATTATTTGTTTATTTGAAAGTTAGTAAGTCAGAGATTGAGCCTGTCAACCATGACAGGAAGCTGTTAAATCTTTCATGTGAGAGTGGTTTGGTTTTAGATTATTTAAGCAAATCACCATGTTCTTCTTGAGCATAAACAATGTTTCTTTCCCCATAAATTTCAGTTTTCAAAGTAAATGCAGAATGTATGATTTCCATACTCTGTCTCCTGTTTTATATTTATAACTTCATTTTGACAATTCAAAGCATTCACTTTCTATGCGATATATATTCACTATATATGCACATGGTTATTCACAGATGAAGTGAGAAATATAATTTCCATGTGTTGCAAATGAGCGCAGGCTCAGAGCTCTGGCAGAGCCCTTCTTATGTGCACCACCTGCAGATTTGACCCTTCATTTTTAATATCTGGCAAGGCAGAGTGAGAAAATATTGCACATCTTCCTGAAAACAACCAAGACCAAACCGTGCCCATGATTTCAAACAGAATATCACACTGAGTGTCCATAAAACTGGGGATAATGTATGATTCCAAACATCACAGTTCTTGCAGGAGGACTACACAGCAAAGGCGGTGCCAAGTGACACTGAAAGCAAGTGCCTGTATTTCATTATTTTGGTGCCTCGTGCAGCTGAGCTGCTGCAAAGTGAATTCTGTGGCACAGCACTGGTAATGTGTCTGTTAGTTTAGGAATTATTCCATTTTCATATAAAAGGTCAGCTTTTTCCATTTCTGGCAAACTGCTAGCTCGCTAGCATTGCTTTGCGTGTTTTCTCTTCCCTCTCCCTTCTTAGCACCATGCCCGGGTGCTCATCATGGTGGCCCCATTCCCCATCCCCCTGCTGAGGGAAGGGCAACGTGAGGTGAAGCTGAACGGGTAATCAGGGAAAACAAACGTGCAGCGGCAGCTACTCAGTTTGGCCTGTCCGGCACATCTGCCTCCCTGTACCCACAGTGCAGAACCAGCGACGTCAACAACTGCTTCACTTTATTTTTAGGAAACAAAAGAACATTTCTGCTGCCAGACACAGTTGTTACACTACAGTTGTCTGGCAGAGCTTGTTTTTTGCCTTAATTCTACTGGCCTGCCTCCACCTGGGGAAAATCAGCCTCATTTAAGTGATTTCACCTGAGCAGCCACCTCGCTGCTTTCATAGGCCCACAGCTGAAGCCACTGAGCCTTGGGGCGGGGCCACAGCGCCACGCGGCATCTGGAACCTTCCATCTGCTCCTGTGTGCTGGAGCCTGTGCTGCAGCCTCACAGAACATCTGGAACCTTCCATCTGCTCCTGTGTGCTGGAGCCTGTGCTGCAGCCTCGCAGGACATCTGGAACCTTCCATCTGCACCTGTGTGCCGGAGCCTGTGCTGCAGCCTCGCAGGACATCTAGAACATTCCCTTTGCTCCTGTGTGCTGGAGCCTGTGCTGCAGCCTCGCAGGGCATCTGGAACCTTCCATGTTCTCTCGTGTCCTGCAGCCTGTGATGGGAGAGCACTTTGGAGCCAGCTCCCATGCTGGGGCTCTTTGGGGGTGCTGCTGGGCCCTCAGAACCTGCTTGGGGTGCTGCCTCGCTGCGCTTTGGATCAGCAGGGAAACAGGATAACATCCCAGGCTTTCAAAGGTAACTTTTAACAGAAACAGTTGAGTGTGTGAGGCTTCAGTTTCTTACTGAGTGTTTTGTTGTTGCTTTTTTTGTTTTGTTTCATTTAACATTAGCGTTTTAGAAGGCTCTTAACTGTAGTTTCTTAATGTGGTTGATATCTAAATTGAAGGGCTGTTGTTTGCTTGCTGCTTTTTTTTATTAGTTTTTTTTTCTTTCCCTCCCCGCTTCCTCCCCCCATTCAGGTAGCTATTAAATGGCTTGCCTAGGCAGCAGTCAATTCTTGGTGGTGATAGCTTCATCTGATGTTGGAACCAAGCACCCTAAGAAACTGTATTGTTACCTCTTCTTTTTGTATACCTACCTGAAAGACTCCTCTGCTTCGGGCAGCTGATCAGCATGGGGGGTTTGGTTGGTTGCTTTTGTTTTTAGTTTGCTGCAGTTACAAAGCTCGGCAGTTTAGTGTGCATCAACCTTTTCCCCTATTTTGCCCTTTCCATCTTGTAGTAGGGAAAAGTTAAGAGTTTCCAGGAGCACAGACAAGCAACCAAGTGGAAGGTAATAAGGTAAGGAAGGGAGTCGAGCAAAAAATTGTTTCCACAACTTGGCAAGGTTTAAATTGCTTGGATGCCTGGCAGGGATAGCAGATGATTCCTGAATAATAATAATACATTAAAAGCCACTGTGTTGTTGAAATAGTCTGAATTGATTTAAGGTGGGAAATTGTCCATCATAGCACAACATGCCCCCGAGCCTCTCAAAATAAAGAGTGAATTTTTCTTTTATTAGCTGCTCTGCTTAGCCATGAGGCTTGCTCTGAGGAAACCCCTAAATGAAGCGACACAGAACCAAAGGTTTCAAAACAGCTTTAGTTAATTATTAGGCTACTTTTGGATTTTGTTATTTAAAGGAAATGAGTTTGAGATGCCGTGTATTTCCAGTTTCTGAAAAACTTATTTCATGTGTGTTTTGCATTCTTTTTCCTGAGGGAGTTATTCTCTATGTGGGTAATGAATTAGAGCCCAAAGGCACCTGAGTTCCGAGTGGAAACTGCAGCTGGCATTATAACAGATTGTGCGCCCATGAAAACAGGTCTGTGGAAAAAAAAAGGAGATTGTAGGTCTCGGTGTTTTTCTATATAAGCAATATCAAAGGAAAAAGATGTTTTGTTCTATGTGCTTTTTATACGACTTGTATCAGGTTGCTTAGAACTTGCCTTTGAAACAAGAGTCTGTACTTCACCTAGTTAAGTTCAACTCCCAGTTTAACTTAGCTGGTCAGTATGCCACAAACAAGTATATGAATAATAAATGACTTAAACCTGTGCACTTCTTTTTAAGGACACAAATATATTCAAAGAAATTGCCTCTTTTGATTTAAAAGTGTAAAAATAATTTGTGCTCATTGCTGAATTACTCACCTGGCTGTAGCTATGAGGGGTGATGAAGTGGTTGCTGAAAGACCCACCAGCAGCGTATATTGACTATGGTTATGTGTCTCTTGCCTTTGTTTGAGCATGGGAAGAAATATCTAAACTTCTTTGGGGGGAAAAGGAAAAAAAAGGAAAAACTGTTGCTGTGGTAGAGTGTAAGACACATAAATTCTCCAAACTCTTAAATTGCAATAGGTGTTATGAGTTTAACTCCCCCAAATCCCTTTGATAGTCAGTGATCAAAGCGGCCGCCAACTCACCGTTGTTTTGTGCCTCTCACTTCAGATGCATAGATTGAGATTTCAAAGCT